CCCACAACCAGACCCAAAAAACAAAACAAAACTAAGAAGGCTTGAGTTCTAATCCTACAGTGTCATACAGGTGGCATTTAAAAGAGTGTTTTTCAAACTATGAGTCAGGACTCATTAATAAGACAATTAAATAACATTTTTAATGAGAAAAGTAAAATATTACAGAGTATGGACACACCTGGTTTCAAGTAATTGTGTGGAGTCATACTAGAGTGTTGCTATATATTGTCAGAAAATTAAATGTATTTCATTTAGAGGAGATAGTATAGCAAGATTAAAAACTACTGACTAGAATAAGTCACTTAATTCCATGGAATTGTTCCTATTCTTAAATGGAAATTACTATTCCATTAATACAATATGAAACACTGTACTAATATTCTTACCAACATTTTGGTTGGATTTTTGTTAAAGCCAAATGTTTTTCTGATACTTGTGAGATTATAGCTCAACGTCACTATGCTAGAAATACTAGCATACTCTATCAAAGATAATTCCGAAAGTGTTTTCTTCCCTAGGTAATGAGAACAGCTAGTGAGAAGCAAAGTAAGTTTCTTAAAATTGTATAATCACTCTGGGGAAAACAGACCCGAGAGAAGCCTCTATTTTACCCTGGGGACCTCATGAAAGAATCACTTAGGAGAATGACCAGAGGAGGAAAACACTGTACAGATTATTCTCACAGGAGACTAACTCAAGAATATCCATTGCCACCCAACCAACTGAATAGCCCTTCATTGCTGAGTATAACTCATGCCTCTTTTCTTCCCACTTTAAGTTTAAAATCTTGTATTAGGCTCCAAATGTCCACAACAATCCTAAGCAGCTCATCATTATTTAGCTCTCTCTGTTATGTAAATACAACATGGAACCACAAATAGGAGACACTAACAAAAGCCAAGAGGTAGTCAAACACCTTCCCGACTCTCATCCATACAAGCTACCATTAAGTACTGAAGGAAAAAAAAAAAAATGTCCTGTAAAGATCTTGAACAACAATAAAAAAGACAGAGGCATCTCTTCCCCCTAATATGGAAGGAGCTTTAAAAAAAAAAAAAAAAAAGCGTGATTCCCACTCTGATGAATTCTAAAACTACTTTCAGAGAAATTCAGGACAGGGATGTTTTTGAGGACTGAGGTCAGCTTGTTCTATGACTGAGGAGTTTTGGCTTGATTTTTTTTTTTCCTCTCCAAGTTTAACCAGGCTCTCACATGGTTAAAACATCAATCCAGGCTTTCAGGAGCCAGCCAGCAGCTCAGGAAAACTGACTGTCTCATCTTAGATTGCTGGACAAATGAATATACATAGATCTGCAATGGTTCAGATTTCCTGTGAACCATTGATACCACTTTGAAAGGGACAGGGCATGACAGATAAGGATAGGCAAAACCTATCCTCATGAACATGAATCAATGTGTGAGAAGATCAAAAGCCTCTAATCACTTCCATGGAGCTCCACCTGGAAAGAGGAAGGCACACAGACTGGCAAAGCAAGCAACTATCACCCAGCTGTCAAGACAAACATGTTTCTTCCCTATAGCACAATGGAGGTACTTCCCTAACCACAGGACACAGTCAGAAAAACTCTACAGAATTAGTACTAGGGAGAGCTTTGAATAGCACTTGACCCCAGAAGCTGGGACTCAGAAAGGTTAAATGACTTGCCTAAGGTCACACATTGGAGTGTCTAGACTAGGAATGGTAGCTAATTAGAATGGCCTAAGATAAATACTATCATTGTGCTTACTTATATACTTGTTTTTCAGTGCTGGGGATAGAACTCAGGTCCTCGCACACACTAGGCAAGTATTCTACCATTGAGCTATATCCTCAACTCTAACATGTTTTGTTTTGTTTTGTTTTAAATACAAGATTCCAGCCCACTGGGCACTGGTGGTTCTCCCTATAATCCTAGCTACTTAAGAGGCTGTGAGATTTGAGGTTCCAGGCCAGCAAAGACAGACACATCCTGGAGACTCCTATTTCATCTAACCAGCACAAAGCCAGAGGTGATGTGGTTCAAGTGCTAGAGCCCCAGCCAAGAATACGAAAGCCAGAGCCAGAAGCACTGAGGATAAACCCAGATATCCCCTGGTTCCCAACCCTATGGACTAATGACTAACATTCCCTTAGGGACTTAGAACCCTCAAGTGTTGTTTGTAGAACACTAGTATGCATTGTTTTAAAATTTAAAAAAAAATCATCAATGAAACGGAGAAAATAGCATCCAAGTACCAGAACTCAATTTCTACATCTGACACTTCTTATAGTAGAAAAGTTAAGTAATGTTATCTATGTTTATAAGACATTGCTTCAGATTTAATTATAAATTACGAAGACAGAAGAATCCATCCCTAAAAGAAGGTACTTACAAGATATTATCATTGCAAAAAAAATATTTACACTAAAACTTCCGGTACTCTAAGTTACCAAGACTTGTTTCAAACCATAAGAAAACACCAAGACTTGTTTCAAACCATAAGAAAACTGAATTACCACTATACCTGATATCATCCAAACATCTGTAACCATAAAAATCCCTTCTTAATATCTGTAACTAAATGAAAGAAACAGATTAACCAACATTTTTAAATTGCAATATAAGTAGCTACAAATAGTGCTCTCCATGGTGAGAAATAAAGTCCACACATAAGTATCCTAGCAAAATTTTCACCACACACGCCTAACAGATGGATTCTAAAAAACAACTAAGTATTCCACAAGCCAAATGCTCAAAATTTAATAATAAAAGATGATTTACATTCCTGCATACAGCATATGTGATACTGCATAAATGCAAATGACAGCAATACGTTGGGACCGAAGACCCCTCTCTGCTCTATCATTCATCTCCCTCAACCTCCTTTTCAATATTTGCACATCCTTCTACTTCCCGCTACTCTGCAACTGAATCAGACCCATCCACAACCTGAGGTGTCGGCTGCATCCCAAAACATTTTATGCAGTTTGCCATTCCAGGAAATCCCAGAGTGGTTTTTAAGCCTTTGCCCACAGCTTGTAGAGAAAGGCAAGAGAAGAACTAATCAATATCAACATCCCAGCTGTGACCTGGCACATAAAGGAACGAAGAAAATAAATCCCATCCATAATCTGTATAATTTAACACTTGGAAGAAAGCAACCTCTGGGATCCACTCCAAGAGGGGCAATATTGCCTGGGTGGGACTGAGCTTCCTGCACTGAGTGTTAAGTCTGGTTAGGAGGCAATGCCCTCCAGTCCTTTCCAGTTTGATCAAGGAAATGTCCGTTGTTTTCTTGCAAGGGTTACTCTCGTCCTCTCCCCTCCCCCCCAAAATAAGTATGTTTGGAAAGGGATCTCCTTACACTTCCAAGAGACAGGAAGCTGGACATCTTTCTTAAAGGTAGGTCCAGGACAAACTATTGTCTTAATAACCAGTCACAATCCAGAAAGGAAGCCCATGTAGAATAGAGGAATGACTGTGTGTGTGTATGTGTGTAACCAGTCACAATCCAGAAAGGAAGCCCATGTAGAATAGAGGAATGACTGTGTGTGTGTGTGTGTGTGTGTGTGTGTGTGTTCCTTTCAGTGGACTCCAAAGTCCACTATTCCCCAATGAAGTTGAAAGAAATAAGAAGAAAATTCCCCAGTGACTATCACTGTCTAGAAAGGCTTTCCAGTTTTTGTGTTTTGTTTTGTTTTTAATCACGGGAAAAATTTATTTAGGACATAAGCAGATATGACCACTAGGTCTGTTTCCAATAAAAACAAGTACATCATCAGCAGGGCAGGACGGGGCATTATAGGAAATAAAGGTTGTCAGTAAAATCTGTAATGCTTTCTCTCTTGTTAGATCTGCCGAGAGGTAACAATCGCATTTCGCCGTTCCAGGCTTGTCAGGCTTCTCTGAATAGTCTCAACCCTAAAAGGAGTAACTGTCAAGGGGGCGACCCAGCTGAAATCAAACAACAAAAACGGGAACTGTAATCCGCGTGAGAAGGGCGGAGGGAAGGGAAGAGAGCCTCCGGTCTTCATCAGTCAACATTAATGTCCTTTGTTGTTCACCTTTGCACACAACAGCGAGCTATCCTGTTCCTTTTCCTCCCAGCACCCGTGCCAAGGCAGTCTTTTCCTAAAATCTCCAGGAAGAGGATCCTGGCTTTCCCACCCTCGTCCCCAAAGATCACTTTACAGCCGGCGTCCAGGACCACCGATGCGCCCAGCTCCCCCACCGCGATCAGAAGGAGAAACCAAAAACAAAAACATTGCTGAAATATCGGTTCCGCTCCCAAGACCCGGGAGCCGAGAGGCACAGATGTTGAAATCTACCAACCCCCGCCCCCAACACACACCCGGGACACCCGGGATGCGAGGACCGAAGCAGACTCCGCTCGGGCTCGGTGGGTCTGAGGGCCGAGGACCGTGTCACATTCCTCACTCCGGGTTGTACGCCTCGCCACCAACTGTTTTGGAGGGGACAGCCTCGACCCCCAGATCCTCGTGTCCCTAGCCACCCCACCACCCTAGGAAACCCTGGCAGCCCATTGCTGTCTCCTCTCGGCTCTGGGCAAGAAAGGGGAGAGAGGGAGACGCACCCCATTCGCCTTCCCCTTCCAACTTCGCACACGCACACACACACACACACGCACGCACACACACTCGCACACAACACACACACACCACGCCCCGCCACCACTCCAAACTCTGCAAGCAGAGAACCCCGGAGCAGGGCGGACCGGCCGCGCGCTTCCCCCTGCCGTCCCGGGGCTGCGGGAACTGGGAACCGGTTCAAGACGCGCGGGAACCCTGCGTCGGGGGACAGGATCCCTCCCCGCACAGCCTCAGCGCGCACCCCCCGGCGGGAGCCAGCTCTGCAAAACCCCAGACCCACTGTGCAGGGACCGGGATTAGGTTATCTCCCGCCGGGAAAAGCCAAGAAAGGGGCGCAGGGAGCCAGGACGAGCAATGCGCACCCACTCCGGCCAGGGCAGAATCCAAAAGTTGGCCCGCGAAGACTCACCCACGCCGTATTTCTCGTGCTCCGTAGGTATCCACATGGCTGAGGAGGATCCAGGGTCTCCAGGCTTTGTAATCCCTGCGCCCCTCGACCACCTCACAACAATGCACGGCGACCGAGTAGCGGCTGCAGCAGCGCCGGAGCCCCGAGGCTCCCGCGCGGGCAGCGGGCGCTGGGCAGGGTCCGCGCTGGAAGATCCCGAGTTGGCGTTGACACCTCACCAGCGAGGCTGCGCCGCTCGCCGCTCTCCCGGCGGCCGCGGCTCACAGTCCTCCGACGCGCTCCCGGAGCCCCGGCGGCGCAGTCATTGTTCTGATTCACTGAACTAAGCGAACACGCCGGGGCACTCTCGGGCGCACCCCCGCCCGCCAGCGCCTCCTCCAGAGCTGCCTTTCCCGAGTCCCCAGTAGCATGCTGGGAATTGTAGTTCTGAGCCTCGCTCTCCGTTTCCCGGAATGGGGGCGTGGTCGTCGCGGGTAAGGGGGCGGGAAAAAAATAAGATCTCCGATCGCCACATCCTATTGGTCCAGAGAGTGACGGCGCGGCGTAGGCGGGGAGGAAACATCGAGTAGTTGAAGCGATTGTCCGCAGTCCCTTTTTCTATTGGTGCAGTTCTTCCTCTCAGCCCTCCCTTTCTGCTAAGCCAAGTAATGGCTGCTTCCGAGACCCAGGGGGCTGCTGCGGGACCTGAGGAATATGATGCTAGTAGGGTCGGGTGCAGCCTCGGGAATGTAGGTTCTGAAGGTGAGTACGGCGCCCCTCGGGTGGGCAATGATTGGTCTTCTCTCTGTGTGACCCGAAGCCAGTTCACCTCGGATCAGATGGGGTGGGGGGGAGAGGGCTGCGGGCGGGACCGCAGGGGGCGGGGGGTGGCCACTTGGCCGGAGAGGTCCGGAGAGGGCGGAGAAAACGCGTTGGACGGCGCTTCCCACCCCCAGGGAAGCCCCCGCCCCTCCCCGCCGTCCGTCTGGGGTCGGCGGGTCCCGGCTTGGCACTTGCCGCCCAGGGCGCGTGGGTCGGATCAGGTTCGCGCGCGCGCGTGTGCCGTGATCACATTGGCAGCAGCTGCGCTCCCCTGGCCAGGAACCCCGCCTGGATTTTGTTGGATTTGGTCTCAGAAGAAAGTGTCTTCTTTCATTTAGGGCCGATTTCCAGTTACACACACTCCACTAACGGCTTCGCCAGTTGCTGGCTGGAGTCATCTGTAAAGGGGGAAAGTGTTGTGTCCATCTCCCAACCGTCCTGTGGCCGGGTGACAGTCCTCTGTGCGCACCAGAATTAAATCATGGACCCGGGCAGATCTTCTCAGGCGTTGGGTTTGTAGAGCAAAGTAATGATATATTCCACCTGGCTTCAGAGAACACGTGAAGGGAGGTTATGATCATCGTAAAAGTTTATTGTGTCGCTCAGATCCAATGTGGGGGGCCAGAAAGAAACTTGGAAAGCCGCAGGTGATTGGTAGTCTGCGAGACTGCTTTCATTGTTAGTTTTTCCTCCACCCCAACCCCTTTTGCCTTAGTGTATAACTCAGCATGACAAATTCTTTTTCTCTGGATATGATCTGGAGTTTCAGTCTGACATTCAGACCTTACTGAGGCTCCCCCACCCCTTTTCGTTTTTGACATCACAAAATATTTGTAATACTTTCTTACCAGTAATACTCCAAAGATTTTATCTCAATAATACAAAGAGGAAGTGGTGTTTTTCTTTCCACCTCCAATCAGTGGTTTCACTGAAATTATGTTAATATCTCTACCAAAGATTCCTGAGTTGCATCTTGAATTATGTCCATTCATTGGATTATCATTGAATTAGTCATATATTAAATGAACTCTTACCTGATGATGAGGCTATTACAGTTTTCTAGATTTTTCAAGTTCTACAGCTACAGTTCAGCTCAAGTGGCTTACACTGAGATCTTAGGACCATGGCTCCAAGCCATCCAGGTAGGAAAGTCCTTCAGACTGATATTTCCAATTAACCACTCCCAAAAAGCCGGAAGTCCATCTAGTAATAGAGTGTTCTAGTAATAGAGTGTTAACCTTGAGTGGAAAGGCTAAGGGACAGGGCCCAGGCTCTCAGTTCAAGTCCTAGTATGACACACAAAAAGGAAAAACTTCTGCAGTTAGAAGTTTATAAAGTCTTTGATGAGTATATCTTGCCAATAAACTCATAAAAAAGGAAATTTGAAGCCGGGCACCGGCGGCTCAAGCCTGTAATCCTAGCTACTCCGGAGGCTGAGATCTGAGGATCGCGGTTCAAAGCCAGCCCCAGCAGGAGCAGGAATGTCTGTGTGACATCTCCAATTAACCGTTAGAAAAACCGGAAGTGGCCCTGTGGTTCCAAGGGGAGCACTAACCTTGAGCTGAAGAGCTGAGGTACAGTGCCTAGACCCAGAGTTCAAGCCCCACGACCAACAGGGGAAAAAAAAGGAAATTTGAATATGCTTTTCAGAAGAACAACATATTTTAAAGTCACCAGCTATCTTAAAATTATGAACATTTTCATTATAAACATTTCACACATTCCATCTGGAGATACGGTAAAGTGAAAAGTTAAAGTTCCACACAGTCTCAGTTCCAGAGTTGTAAATAGTAATAGTTTGGTGAATTTTTTTTCTGAATTCCCATATGACCACATATATTTGTGGTTTGGGCTTTCTTTGAGAAATTTTGATTATTATTCTGGTAAACCCAAAAATCTGCAGCTGTTTTCTTTCTCTTGTTAGTCTGTATATCTTTCATATTAATTCATTCATTGTTTTACTTGTTGGAGGGTTGCAGCCATCATTATTCCATGATTTGGAATACATACAGTGTGTCTTTGAGCCATTATTATTCTATGATTTGCCAGTTCTATTCCTCTAACAGTGTGGCTTTGTTTTTTTTCGGTAGTGTTACAGTAAATGGCTGAGTGACTTTTATTTGAGTACTTCCTGGGTCAAATGCTGTGCATGTTTAAAATTTTGATAGATGCCAGATTTCTCTTTTGAAAATTATTTGTCATACATTCTTACCAGTAGTACCCAAAGTTTTTTTTCTGAGTTATCTTCTCCAACCTTGAGGAAATCATTAATTTACAACCTATGTTTAAATGTCGGTTGAATTGAATTAGGTGACAAACCTGAGCCTAATTTTAGCTTTTCTGTAGTAAGACTTAAATCTGTCTTGTAGGTGCCAGAATGATTTGGTGCAGTGATAACTACAGTGGAATTGTCTTCAATTAATGCTGACTTATGTCACTTTAAACTATATGCACGTTTGGCATGTGCGAAAGGCTTAGATTTGTTTTCAATAAAAGTATTGAGAAATAGTGAATGTACAGTATCTATAACACACATGCACACACACACACAATAGCTCAGTTGGGCACCAGTAACTCATGCCTGAAATTCTTGCTACTAAGGCAGCTGAAACATGGAGGACCAGTCCAGGCAGAAAAGTGCAAAAGACTTCTTCTCCAATGAACTAGACAAAGCCGAGCTGGAATTGTGGCTCAAGTGGTAGTGTGCCAGCCATTAGCAAGAAGCTAATGCTTGAGGCCCCTGAGTTTAAAAAGAATGCCCTCACCATTGTTCAGAACTGCCCAGTAACAAACTGACTTGTAGCAACCAATGTGAAAGCTTAGTTACTGATTTTTATGTAGTGTGTATGTGTGTGTGTGTGTGTGCATGCATGTGCATGTTTATTTTGTTTTTTGTGGCTTTTTGTTCAGTTTTGTTGTTGTTGTTTTTGGCAATTCTAGGTTTGGACTCAAGGCTTTGTGCTTGCTAGGCAGGCACTCTACTACTTAAATCACATCTCCAGCCCTTTTTGCTTTGGTTATTTTTCAAAAAGGGCCTCACTATTTTGCCCAAGATTAGAGTCCAGTCCTCCTGCTTTATATATCATGATGTGGCTGAGGTGATAGGTGCACACCACAATGCCCTTTTTTTTCTATTGAAATAGGAATTAATCTTTTCAGACTGGCCTAGAATCTCAATTCTCCTAATCTCAGCCTCCCATGGAACTGGGATAACAGGCACATACCACTGCACCTTGCTATTAGATGAGATGGGATTCACTAACTTTTTGAACTGCAATCCTCCCAGTCTCTTCCTCCCAAGTAGCTAAATGTATAGTCATGAGCCACCTGCATCCAGCTTATGTCATTTTTGTATGACAAAGTTGTCATTAAAAGTTACCCCTAATGCCCAGTGTGGTGGTGCATAATCCCTGCATTCGGGAAGCTGAAATAAGATCAGGAGTGCAGTGCTAGCCTGGGTTACATAGTCAACCTGGGCTGTGTGACAAGACCCTATCTCAAAACACAATAAAGAATTCCCCTGAGTAACTTCCTTATCATTCCATGACTTCATCAAAATTCTCTTCAAGGCCAGTGAATTGTGCTATATTTTAGGTAGAAATAATTGTATCAGAAGTTTAATATTTTTGTTAAGCAGCCATTTAGGGTATCAAATATATCTTTTGTCTTTGAAGGGCATGCTTCTTTTTAATTTCTTGAAAACTGCCTCTTTGAAGAAGTTTCTCTCCAGCTCTAATTAAAATGTCAATTTGTGCGTTTGATATCCTGGGAGGGAAGGGCCTGAGGAACTTTTTAATAGAAATCCTTGCAATGCTACAAAAGCTCTGTGGGAAGGAGTCACTGGGTTGTGCACTGGCAGATACACCTTCACTGACATCACTGACATGGCTGAGTTTCCAGACTTCCTGCAGTCCTGCACCTCTCCACAAAAAACAAACTGCACACACTACATAAAAATCAATAACTAAGCTTCCACACTGGCTGCTGCAAGTCAGTATGATACTGGGCACTTCTGAACCGTGGTGAGGTTTTTAAACTTAGATGCCTCAAGCTGTCTTAGCTTCCTGCTTATGGCTGGCACACTACCACTTGAGCCATACTTCCAACACAGCTTTGTGCTGGTTTATTGGAGAGGGAGTCTTTTGGACTTTTCTGCCTAGACTGACTTCATACTGGTCCTCCATGTCTCAGCCGCCATAGTAGCAAGAATTTCAGGCATGACTTACTGGTGCTGAATTGATTAGATTTAGGCCAAGTCTTCAACCTCAGTGCTTTGAACAAAAACATTTGAACAGAAACTAGGATTTCATATTGCTTCCTAAAATTAAGAGCAAATAATAAATAGATTTAGCACCTCTTATACTTGAGCCTGTGTCATATACTTATTGTTGTGTTGTTTTTATTTAGAAGTATGATAATACATCAATAGTTCAATAATTGACTGTACTTTTAAGAGGATATTGTGACTGGGTGATTTCTTCTGGTACTGATATGACATATGTCCATATTGTAACATTGTGATAGGGTCTACTTTTTTCCCCTTCAAATGAATGCCCAAG